TCTAAGACAAATGAGTATGGCATCCTCTGTTAGCCTTAACTACAGATTTCCCTGGCTGCTGTTTTACATCCTGCTGAAATGTAATGTTAAAATTAAATTTCACCCACTCTGATCCCAGCTAACTGAAAATGGCAAGCATAATTCAAGGTTATTGACTTTCTGTATCAATCACTAAAAAGCTTTGAAAGAATTTGGGGTGACAGTTGGAGTCTAGGGGGTGGCATTACTGAGGCAACTGTGATTGGGGCAAGCAGGAACCTTATAAATACACATTCCTGACCAGCAGGTGACATCCTACTCAGAGAGGAGCCAGGTTGGCCCACCTTCAATCTCTTGCCCTCTCTATGACACCTGCCAGCCAGAGATTCTTATTTATGTATCTGCGAATCCAGCTACACATTTAGGACTCCTTGAAAGGGTAACTCCAATGAAACAGAACTAACACTCTGACCCAGCGTTCCTAGTTGTGTGCCCTCCAAAGATTAGTAATGAGTGTGGGGTACATCATGGAGAGGACAACTTCATACATTCTCAGGAAAGCAGCAGTAAGAGAAAGGAATACACAAATTGAGTATGATCATGCAGTGAGGGGCTCTTCATCAGGAGAGCCAATGACATTGACCACCTCTTGGGATGAAGCTCCAAAAGCAGCCCTGTCAAAGCAGTCAGACTCAGAAGCTAATGTGGCTCATGGAGTCCCTCCCACAGTGTGCACATCTTGCTTCATGTACATGAAGCCTCCACAAAGTGGCCTGAAGAAATTAAATGAGACCCAAACCCAAACATATCTACTTACCAATTCTCAGCTTTCCCACAAAACAAGCTTGGCTTAGTCCTCTCAAATAAAGCAGGTAAAAAATAGTTCTTTTGAATTAAATCAATTCTAGTTTAATGAAAAGCTCTATTGTTATTTTAAAGACCAATAATGGAAACTTCCTTGGGACACATAGGAGTTGTGATGAGGAGCATTTGGGAAGCCCCTAACCTTCTCTGTACACCAGCACACTCTTCACTAATTCACTTCACAGTGCACTCCAGTGGGAGCTACTGGATTTTAACAGACTATCAAATCCTACCTAGTGCAGGGTGGGTGGAACTAGCTGGAGGTGGACAAATAGAGGAGGGTAAAAGGAGGATGCTGGGACCCAAGCCTTGCATGGCTCAAGCATTCACCCACCTAGACTCATAGGCTGCTCTCACCAACTGCACAGGGGGTGTTTGCTTCTCACTTGATGGATGTGGCATAATGAATCCTTTTTATAATTGCCATCTTCTCCGGTGTTCAAGTCAAGATGTGTAGTGGGTGGGCCTTGGGTATTTGCATATCTTTGAAATGTGATCAAGATCCTGAGAGCTTGCCATGCCTTAGAGGGCCTTGAATACCATTGGTGGATAGAGGTGAAAATGAACACAAACTTTGAAAAAGCAGCAGCAATGATTTTCTAAAGTATAACCATAATAATTTATCTATGCACACAAATACCAAATTTTTCCTATAAAAGCCTAAAACTAAAGAGAATTGTCTTTTATCAAAAATCAGATCAATAGCCTTTGCTTTTTTGAAGCCATGTAGCTCACCAAGATAATTTAATAGGAGCACAATATCATCAGATATGAGACTAGACTAGATAATATGGCATGTGCATGACATATTCAAATAACTGACAAAAAAGTTGGGAACTTTGAAAAAGTTCTAAATAGTAATTTGGTTTAACATAAGATCTTCAATGTAAAGTTTTATAAAGAAAAATTCAAAATCATTTTTAAAGACTTTGGTATTTATGATATTTTTCTCTCATAAGCACCCGCAGAATTAATAATACGTTTCCAATAAAAAGAGTCTACAAAGATTTTAGCAACCAGTGTAAGATAACTGAGGTTATGTTCCAATAGTGGCAACAGGTACATTTATTTTCTTTGAGTTTTCTTTATGCATCAGGATATAGCAGGGAACACCTAATCAAAAAGAAAGCAATGAAAACCCCAAGCCTCATAAAGACATAACTGCACATGAACATCACTTAGGGGCTCAAAGGCAGCATCCCATGCATTCCTAAGCCTGTCTGGTTTTGTTTAATTTTAATAACAAATAGACATAGCACTGAGGGAGCATCAGACACTGAGGTAAGTTAGAAAGGCAAGGTCATCTACGCCTTACAACAACCCAGTCAGTTGGGTTTTATTGTCCACATTATACAGATAATGGAGTCCGAGGTTCCAAAATTTTTGTCAGACACTGACATACCCAGAGCTGCTCCGGGGCTGTGCCTTTGCCTGCAGCTTGTCTGTTCTTGCTTTGTTTGGAGAGGGGCAGCAGAATCATAAGACATTCCTTCCTAGTTCTAGGTCCTGCTCCCATCGGGTCAGCATGAACAGCCCAGTGCTGCTGAGCCTACAGCAAGTTCTAAAGGAGGCAGAACTACTGCTGGCTTTTAGCACTGGCTTTGTATGGGTTTGGATTACATACACTGAAGCAAAGCAGGATCCTGAGAAGCCCCTGTGGTCCTCTGCTCTCTCTAACTTTCTCTGGCAGTTGCATCTTCACAGTTTGGGCCAGATCTGCATACCAACTGGGCTACTATCTAGTTATAAGTCTGATCTAAATTAACCCAGTTATTTAAAAAGTAGTCTTCTTTACTAGAGTTTTATGGTGTCAATAGATAGTTAAACTTTATTAATACATTCATTAGTAAAAAAAAAAGCATGGACATGGACCAACTAAAAGCAGTACATGTTTTTACCTACGTAACTTCTAGACTTCAGTGAATTGTAATTCTGAGCAAGGGAAAGCCAGATCAGAATACAAAACATGGAAACAATACAAATAGCCTTGAAGTTATTTTTGTATATGTGTATGACATTACACATGTTAAAAAAGAGAACACTATATATCTTACAAACATATATAGTATGGAATGGTGAGAAAAAAGGAAGAGGATTTGAGCAGGAATTGGGCATTATTGGCTCAGAGGTAATAAGAAGTAATACAGAACAAAGACATACTTCAGCACTTTAGTACACCACCATGAAAGCCATTCAGGAAAGCGAAAAACCACCAACATACTGGCACCATGTGGTTTCAACCTAAACCTCAAATATATAAATCATGGCCTGTTTGTATGGTTTAGTAAAGAAAAACTCAGTACCCAGAAACAAGCATTTAAAACCTTGATTGATAAGAAATTATTTATATTGTTTCTCTGGGAAGACTGAAAACTGTGTGCCTGATAGGGGGGACCTCTCAGAGCACAGGGGCTCCCTCAGGGCACCTGGGGCAAGGGGTGGCAAGGCCAGTCTTATCCCCTCTTCCCCACCTGCTTCCTCCCTCAGGAGTTCCAGGCTTGCAGACTCTGCAGGAGCTCCCTCTGATGTACAGACAAGCTTCCCTGATGTACTGACCTTTGGAGACCACTTACAGCTGCTTTCCCTCATTTTGCTAAGAAGAAACTGAGGCTCTGAAAAGATCAAAAACTGTCTAGGTGATTAAGCAAACCACAACAGAATCAAAGTCTATAGAACTCAGTGTCCAGATTCCCAGGCCAGTGTTTATCTGAACCAAACTACTTTCAAGGCCACCCTTATGCATCAACACACCAATACTGCAGAGGACTTCATTACATTAATATCCTTGCCCATCCTTGAATGAAAATGTGATTAATTGGGAATTCACTGAGGAAGAGGGGATGGCAGCCAGCAACATTTAACTAAGTGTTATGAGTCAATGGAAATAAATTAAAAAATAAGATGAAGTCATTATTTTGGAAAGCTCATCTCTTCCTTAAAAGTCATATAAATAAAATACCTAAAACAGGTTAAGAAAGCTTCTAATTGATAGAACACACACACACAAACACACACACACACACACACCACAGCAATAGTGATAACTTGACATAAGACTTTACATGAAATAATATTCTTACAACATAGATATTACTATTTTTAAAGATGAAAAAAATTGAGCCAAAGCCCATGCCATGGGTGGGGTTATCAACAGTTCTGTTTTTGTTTTTTTGTTTTGTTTTGTTTTGTTTTGTTTTTGTGTGTGTGTGTGTGTGTGTGTGTGTGTGTGTGTGTGTGTGTGTGTGTGTGTGTGTGTCTGGGCACGTGCATGTGCAATAACTGAATGTCGATTTTCTGGAGCTAAATCAGGAAAACACTGAGACCCTGGGATGGCTGGGATGACACCCTCTGCCTTGCCAGCAGGGTTGTATGTATTTCTGCCTCCTGACATAATCCTATCTTTATAGGTTACCCCTGCCCCACCATGTGCCAAAGTCTAGCATTTCACAGATTGGATTAAAGAAGTATATGACCAATGTCTTACAAAATAACATTCATAAGTGATTTCATACACACAGGAAGCAGTGCACAGCTTCCAACCTCTGTTCTTCTAGGAGGGCGAAGAAGGATCTTACCTTGACTTCAAACTCGAAGTGTTCATCCTTCCCTTGACCACACAGGACATAGCGGGGAATACTAATCTTAATGGGGTCCTTCAGGTCGTCTGGATTTGCTCCCAAAGAACGAGAATACATCCGCTATCAGAGGCACATCAGACAAGGAGGACAAAGAGAATGTAGCGTCACTGTGCTGTGGCCGATACCCTGCTTGCGCAGAAGAGACAAAATGCGTCTCGAGTAGAGAAAAGAGCGTGAAACCAGTCGAGTTTATTTAGAGAAATGACGCTTTCTTTGGAAAAGACATGCTAAGCCTCTCTCCTAACAAAAGACCATTTCTGTAGGTATACCACTCCAGAAAGTTAGGGCCAAGACACTTCAAAATGTTATTAGGCTTTGAAGTTCCTTCCAATTTATAAGATCAAGTAAAAATAAGAACAGATTACACTTTCTAACTTAAAAAAATAAGTTTCTTTTTGCAAAGCCTTTATCAACTAAACATTTTTTTTTTCCTCCACATATCTGACTGCTGTTTATAAAGCTGTAAAACCTGGAGATTTTGTTCAAATTCAATGCATCTTTAACATTTGCCCATTTTTATAAAGAAGTCACTGCAGTGTGAAAATCTATGTAAACGACAATTAAGACAAATCCCAAGGATTTTCCTTAGGCTCCACTTGATTGATAATTGACTTGGCTGACAAGCATTTATGTTCTGGGTGGCAGGAAGCCAGAGGGATCAGAGGAAGATGCAGTATAAAAAAATAATTTTCAAAATGAGTTCTTGAGTATAAAAAGGAGGAAATCTCCAGATATTCATAATTTACACTAACCTGCAGCTTTAGAAAACATAAAACAATGTTTTTGAAGTGGTAGCAGTAAAAACATACTTTATTAGAACCACATTTATAGTTGCACTTGCTGAATACTTACCATATACTGTGGGTGTGCTAACCAGTTTTCATACATTAATTCTATCAGTCTTCATGATATCTCCATGAGGGGCTAACCATTATGAACTCTATGAAATGAGAAGGGAGGCAACCTCACTCTAGGAGGCAAGTGGCTAATAGCCCAGGGTATGAACGTCACACAAGTACATTATTCCCATATTCAATATTTAAGTGAGGCCTTCCAAGATAAACGGGGCTAATGAGTACATCACACATGCACAGATTAAGGTGTTGGCAACTCCATAAATATGCAATAAAATTATTTTTTTGGAAAAAGAAACCCAGTGGTTAATATATGACCCATTCACTAGGGACAAAGGGCTGGGGTCCAGGCAGGTACTCACAGGTTTGGCACTACCTGGCTGCCTCTGTGACAACTCAGACCCCTGGGTGTCACAGAGATGGACAATTTCTGACTTGTAGCTTCTAATCTAGCTGACAGAGTCAATATCCAGCACTGTTTGAAGTTACCAAAGCCTTTTTACAGCATCACAATTTTTCCCTGGTGGTTGGTCACCCACAATAAGAGCCACTGTTTGCCACATGGCATATCTAATTAGCTGTCATTGATATCAAAAAACCAAAATGGAAATGCTTAGAGGTGCTTTTCAATGTGAGCTCTGCTAATCACCTCAATTCACTGACAGTCCACGCCCAAATTACTTTAAATATAGACCTCCCCTGACATGTTATATGTTTATAATTTTAAAGATGGAAAGGGGAAAACGAATTGGCCTATTTATAAGAACACGTTCAATGATAAACAACAGCTCTCACCTACATATATCAATATTTAGCCTCAAGTTTCCTACTTTGTTTCCCTCAATCCCCTCTATGTCACATATTGTACCTAACTTTCCAAGTAAAGGAATGTTATCTCTTCTACAGACACAAAATGATGTCTCACGATTATTTGTGCCTACGTGTAGCCTTTGAGCTATAGGGTGAGAAATATGCTGGTCACAAACTTGGCAGATAGGAACTGCTATTGTGGAATTCCAAGCAGTAATTAACAGTTGCTAATACTGCTAGCAAGGAGGCTGCTCCCCCCCCCCCCCACTCTACTATAGCACTTAGCTTTCTTTGTTTTCTAGTTCATCTTCAAAATGACATAGAACTGAAACCTTGAGTCTGGCAACACAGTCTATCCCATGACTACTTACGTTTTTCCTATCTAAGAATGCAGTTGTGAAATCAATTTCTAATGCAAGCAAGGTAGCTTAAGGCTCAGGTCAGACATCCTCTAAGAGAAACTAAAAGAAAACAACAACAAACCACCTGCCTTTGACAATGTTCCTGGGTGTCTGAATTGAGTGGGGATGCATTATGTGGATCAGCTGGATCTTAAATATCTGTACAGCTCACATCAACTTAGAGCCCTGTGCTGGCTTGTTTTTATGTCAACTTAATACAAGCTAAGGTCATCCAAGAAGAAGGAATCTTAATCAAGAAACCCCCCTAAGCATATATTTTGGGCCTGTGGGCAAGCATCTGGTGTATTTGATTGATCAATGATGTGGGAGAGCCCAGCTCACTGTGAGCAGTGCCACCAACTGAGCTGATGATGGTCCTAGGTACCATAAGAAAGCAGGCTGATCAAGTCACAGGAAGCAAGCCAGTAAGCAGCACTCCTCCATGGTCTCTGCCTCTAGATTCCGGCCCTCTCTGAGTTCCTGCCCTAACATCCCTGAACAATGGACTACTAGTTTTAAGATTAAATAAATCCTTTCTTCCCCAAGCTGCTTTTGTTCATGGTGCTCATCACAGTAACAGAAACTCGAAGACAGGCAGCCTTCTCACACCTAGGCCTGTATGTGGACGTTAATCAATGGTTTCTGACATTCAACCAGGATGAGACATTGAAGCTCAGCAGATCCTTTGCTGGGAAGAAAGACATTCTTCTCCTCAATTCTCAGCATGCTGGAGATAGAAATATTGCTAGGATATTGCTATCACCCCTGAATACAGTTTAATTGGCTACAGTTTCAGTCTCACTGTTTTCATATGAAACAAATTATTAATGAACATATAGAAATAAACTACAACAGAATTGAATAAGAGTCTATGACCACACCGCCCTGTATGCACCTGATCTCATCAAAAGTGAGTACGGCAGGGATCTGAAGATGTTTGAACAAATGTATAATATAGAGAGAAAAATAAAAAATGAACATGTTTCCACCAAGTCATTGCTGCAGGGTAGTTTTATTTTAATTTCTATGAGAAATGTAAAATTCTCAGATACAGTTGTGAAAGGTTCTTAACATTCTCCTAAAAATATGTTAGTCTTAGGTAGTAAGAAAAACCAATATAATGTCTCATAAATATACTCTTGATTTGTATGTGGCTGTATTTTGAATACCTGGTTTTACCCTAGACATGGGAATATATGCTGAGTAACATCACATGACATGGTTTATGAGTGCTTTTAAGTATAATGGTATTGTTTACTTTGGAATCAGTCACTCTTCCTGCAGTGGACAAGACTCCTAGACTCAACAAGGAAACCAGTGACACATCTGAGAAAGACACAGAGAGATAAAAAGGCCTCCTGTTAGAAAGCAGCAAATTCAACAGGGGTAAATACATAAGCTGTGACAAGAACCTTAAAATGTACTGGAGAATGGTTCCACTTAGAAATAAAAAGTCAGGAATAAGCATGTAATCAGTAACTTGGATTACATGTCTATACATAAGAGATATTATATTTAAAAATTAAATAAAATATTTTTCTGGTCTTAATGAAATATCATCTTGTGCGGGCACATAATATTCTTAAGAAATTGTGGCTAAAACATTGTAGCTAGATCCTCAGCTAAAAGGCTGCAACTGTGAATACTTAGATTAGAATTTTCTCTTCCCACTCAGGCTGTCTCCTTCAAAAGAATCATACTGAGGAAGTGGACAGGAAGTGGCATTGGTATCTGTACAGATCACTGTAGGCTATGTGAGGGCACTGAGTGGCCTAATTCTACAGGGAGTCATCAACACCCTCCTAATCACCAATTATGTACCAGATGTTTAAATTCAGTTCAGGCTTGACCATGACAGGGTCAGCCCTAAGAACTGTCATCTAATCTCCTGGAGCCCATAACAAAGCTTTGCTAAAAAATTCAGGCAGAGCAGGGTTTTTGTTTTTGTTTTTTCCCCTTTTAAATTAGATTAAACTCTGTTCTAATTTAAATCAAAATTACCAATTCTCCTCACTTCCCAGCATAGCATACAATTTAATTCTTCCTTTTCTAAAATTGCACATGCCAGGGTGATAGTTCTAGTTGGCGCTATTACACATCAGTCATCTTGTTATATCTTATTATGCCCCAGCAACTTGAAAAAGGGGAAGCCCAGGCAGACAAATCTGTTACATTGTTGAAAAGGAGGCAGGTCATCAGGAATTGGAAATAAAGAGTGTGAACAGGGAGAGAGTAAGAGTATGACAAATGGCCAAAAATGGCCAAAGCAGGTTTACCTTCACTCTAGGAGAAGCCCCCCTGTGCCAGGAAGGATCTTGTCTTAATACCATACTGTCTATAAAGCTTAGGAGACATGGCTCATTCAGACTTTGCTAAGCTATGTGAATGGCATGCTACAGGAATCATTTCTTGGTTCAAATCCTCCAATGTGAAGTGAAAAATGACAACAGATTCAACTTTCTAGGGTAAAGGACTAACAGATGGGCAACAGCTTCACAGTTTGAAAGCTACAGTGCATAAGGTAGTTAGAATTATTGTTACCATTGTGATCTACTTTGGTAATAAAGACTTTTTAACAAAACAAGGGCCAGAGTAATGATATACAATAGAAACTGGTTCCTTTTAATCAACTAGAGCATTCAGTTACCTTCCTTACCAAGGAAATTTCAAAAATGACAAAGGTGCCTCCTGAACAGACTGGATGGCAATAGTTTGGAGGCTGCTGCTCACGAAGAGAGGAAGCACTGACAACTGTCGGAGGACAACTCCGAGGAGAGCAGGTAGAGAGAACCAGCCACTCTAAGGCTGCGGTACAATGCAACCTGCAAAATCCACTTCTTTGTTCCATTTCAGATAGTACTCTGACTAGGCAGACTGAAGATGGAGAATATTACAGGCAATAATACCGATAGAGGCCAGCGTGGCTGTTCTTGGATGCTTCCATCACCTCCATGATGGTAACAATTCCTGTAGTACAGAGCTCAAAATGAGGCATGTGTGGCACATAAGTCTAGCTCAGATAGATCTGTAGGCTTCAGTAGAGTCACCCCATTGGCTTGCAAATCAGCAGTGACAAATAGAAGCCTTTTGTCTTTCCTATACCACTGAAATGCCAAGAGTTGTTTGGTAGTTGGCAACAGATGATGGATAGAACAATTTTTACAACAAACATTTTGAAGAATGGAGATGCCTAAGCTATATATTGTAGACTGTACAACAACATTAGTAAAATTACTTCACTGAAACTATACAATCCAATAAAACAGCCTGGCCATCAATGAACCATTAATAAAAGAGGTTCAGATCTATTTATCATATATGGCATCTATGAAAAAAGAAATGTAAGAGACATTTACCATAATTACTACTGTTGGAAGGCTTAAGTGTGCCCTTCCAAAGGGAAAGATGAGTATTTTCTAAGAACTCAGACTGTAGTGACAAACTGTTTCAAGATGTTTTTCAACAAAATCTAAATAAATCCACTCTGCCAAGTACAAGTCTCAAACAGGCAGTTGTGAGCAAGATGCATTTTAATAAAATTCAGATGAAATTACCTTTTCAAGTTCTCAAAGAGGTATTGTCTAGAATATATCAGTGATTCCCACAATGCAAGTGTTTATGCTTCTATTCCAACAATTCAAAACGCCAGAGAACCAAGTACACAAACCCCTTTTTCTTGTCCTTGAAACTGCCTACAACTGAGCAATTACATTGGCTGCATACATTTTCTAGACTTATACCTGATCTAATGCAGGAGGGGGTGTCAGAGGGTGGGAACTCCTGAAAAAGGAAGCCATCGTGGACAATGGAGCAAGTCTACAGGCTTCTGGAATATTACAATAATGTTGATTCCTACTGTATAGAGCATATCAATCAAACTCTCACTCCCATGAACCATATTTTATGTCAAGGTACAAAGCATACCTAAGTGAGAGATGTGCCAAGCACAGGTACAAGAAGATTCTGGAGATGAGTCCGTTATGTGGTGAGATCTGAACAGAACAATGTTATGTTACATTTTGATCTCTCTGAACCATACAGAAACTCAGAATGTGGGGATAAATATAATGATTTTACATAATGCTTATATTTATTTTATGCTCCATATAATAAAAAACCCTAAAGGTCATTATTTGTAGCATGGTAGAATAATGGGAGTCTGTCTATTTGAGGTGGACAGTCTCTGTTAAAATGACAGATCGTTTTTGTATTGCTGCTTATTCACATCCCTCTGCTGGAACCTTTAATTTTGCTCTCAGTTCTACATGACTGTTAATTCTGTTCTTTCTTTTTTTTCCCCAAGATATATGTCAAAAGAGTGGTGGGACTATTTAAGAAAAAGTAATATAAATTATATTAACTGAAAAATGAGAATTAGGAGAAATGGTATTGATGAGCTATTAGACATTTATAATGGTACATTTCAGGTTTTTTCCCCCCCAAGATAGATGGTGACCTAGCTAAAGTCAGGAGCAATAAGTGGTAGCAATTTTCCCAATGTTCTCTATATAGTTAAAAGCCTTTGGGTGTAAGGCAATGAGGTATGAGTCTATCAGGGGAAGGGTGTTTTGGAAGTGACAAAAGTACACTCCATCCCCAAATAAGAGAAATCAATTGCCTGGAAAACAAAAAGCCTGCCATTGGTCCACAGAAAACAAGGTTGCTAGGTCACAACACATTCTGCAGTTCTGTGTTTTCCTGTTCACTTCCCCAGAGTCTACACAGAGCAAAACAGATGGAAATGTAGAAACGCTTCAATAGCCTGTCACTCTCTGCTGGCAAGTCTGACGAGAAGCAGTTGGTAAGTTTCTGGGTGGGTTAGGTTTTGACTCATTCCTATCATCAGTTAGTAGCAGAAATAAAGGGCCCACATTTATATTTCACATTAGCCAAAAATGTGACCAGAACAGAAGGGCCCTTCAAGGCCAAAGCTAAAATGAGTGGTTTAATGAAATGAGGGACTCACTCAACTGTCCACAGTATGCCGAGCCTGGGCCCAGCTAAGAGAGGAAGGGGAGCAAATGGAGAAAGGAGGTTCCTCCCCCCGACTAGCTTCTAAGACTTTGGAATTTAGTGGACATACATCCAAGAGAAAGGAGAATGGCAAAGTAACTGGATGGTATAAATTAACTCCAAACATGTTTTCCGATTGCTCATCGGATTGCCACACAGAAAGTAAAGGAAGAATATAGCAAGCATGGATAGTTGTAAATCTACCTCAGGCCAGTAAATACCTGTCTTAGAGGACCTGAGTGATGCTAGACAAGCGGCAGGAAGAATGGAAGACACAGCAGAGTACTGAATGTCACTTGGGTGACATTGGGCAGCCATGTATTTGACAAGACAGCAGAAATAATCCACAAAAATGTTGCAACAAGATGAGGAGCCCTTCTGGGATAAAAATGCAAAAGTTCAGAGAAAGAAAGAGAATATGGTAAAGGTTATGTATGGGGGATGGGCTGGCGAAGTTAAAGGTAGCGGCAATGCGCTCTGCCTCACAGCTGTGCTACTCCTGGCCAGCATGGAGGGTGTCAGTGAAGGTCACTGCCAGACTGGGCACCTTTCCAGCCAGCACAAATTAGTCCACTGGATGCCAGCAGGCACCCCCAGATTCCAAGCCACCACACCATAAACAGACACTAAGCCAAGCAGTCAGAATGCTTTAACCACTTCATCAATAATTGGGTAGATCCAAATTTACAGTCTTAGTTTCAAGACAATAAAGCAGGTGGCAATAAGGATAATTTTCCAGTTCTCTGCTATAAGCTATTTTCATTTTGCTTTATTCAAAATATTTATACTTCCAATTTTAGAGTCCTGCTTCATTCCCATTCAATTAACTACATTGAGATATTCATATTTTCATGACTATTTTTCATAATGTTCATTTTATTAAAGGTCTAAAAGAAAATGCCCTGTATCTTTAAAAGTTTAGAGTCTTCTTAAGTATGAGATCAGCCAAAGAGCCTCATCATGAGAATTGAAAGTGAGTTTCCAGACATCAAGTTCTTCATGCTGCCCATCCTGAGGACACAATGCAGTAAGCATCTGGGTGCTTGAGGCAACTTGACCCGGTTCAAATAGACCACTTCCTGTGTTCAAAGGAAGCCCATGTTTCCTGACGAAGACCAGCTCTATCGTTGACATTTTGTCCTTCTCGGGAACAATGACACATCTGAATTCACTCAGAGCTTGACACCTGATCACATCAAATCGCCCATGTGGAGGAAGTGTGTTTAAAGAGTGAGTGTGGGGGTAAAACACACGGTCCTCCCTCAAGAGTGCCATGTGGGTGTTCAGAAGGATGAATGACGGGCAGGGGGTGCAACTGGCTTCACTCTCCAATCTGACTGTGGTATAGAGCAGTAACCGAACTTCAGCCAGAGAAGGAACACTGGCCTCCATATTTCCATGAAGAAAGTAAACCATATCAACCAAGGTTGTCTGGAAATTGGAAGACAACTGAACTCCATTTGCCAAAGCTAGAGCAGGGAGTTTTGCTTCCAAATCAAGAGAAAGCTGAACCAGGTCCTGCTGGAGCAAAGGGTGACTTTCGTGGGCAGCAGCTTCAGACCCAGCCATCAGCACACCCAGGAGGTCCTGGCAGAGCTGTTGAGAGAGGCTCTTGTTGTAAGTTAGCACAGTAAGCAAGAGGTCCTGTGTGGGGCCAAGGAGTCTAATGCTCTGCCCACCAAAGCCGACCTGAATCTCCTGCAGTGCAGAGAGAGGGAGAACATGAAAGATGCTCATGGAGGCTGAGCAATTATCTAATAGGACCAGAGCATACAGAGATGAAGGTAGCAGGAGCAAGCATGCAGCTTGGGGGTCAGGCTGGGTGCAGTTAGCAACTGCGAGCCAGTAAATGCCTTTGACTGCCTTCACTATGCCCAAAGGCTCTGGCAGAGAACAGGACATGTGCTCAAGGAGGTCTGTGAGAGGGTACTCTTGAAGCCTCTGCATTTGCTCTGGGAATGATACAAGGGTCTGCTTAAACGCTGTGATCTTCCCAGCATCTTTATAATCAAGACAGAAAACTGAATTTGGCCAGGAATCTGGTGAGCCTGTAGATGTGAAGGCCAAGTCTGTGTAAGGTGCTGTGCCCTTGGCTGACCTTGGGCTCCCTCCATCTTCACTGCTGAGGCTGCCAATCTGAGTTTCAGAAAGAGGAAGAGGATCAGATGGCACCATGAGTGACCTCATAGGCAGGTGTAGGGATAAGCGCTCCAATAAAGGCAGGCCTCTGATGAAGGTTGTCACTTGGGAGGCCAGCCTACCTGAGTCACACATATTCCCCACATACTTGGCTTGGTTCATTACTTTCGTGCCAGCCTGTATCAGGTGACCACTGGTGTCTTTGTACAGGTCTGAGAACTTGTGGTAAAAATACCCCAGCCCCTTCTTTGCTTCTGTCCTGATATTGACTAGTGATGCTGGAAAGCGAGTGTTTTCAGCATCTACCTCTTTCCCATTTTGTTGCTCACAACACAATGTGGAGGCTGATGTGCTCTGAGGAGAGCTGCCAGTGGGATGCTCCTTTTGAGAAATGCTTTCAGAGAGAACAAAGCACTGCATCCTGCTCTGCACCGCTTGCTGGCTTCCTCTGTCTACTGGCGCTTGCTGGGACATGTGTTGCAGCAATGTCCAGCTGGACTCCATTCCCCAGCTTTGTTTCTCTCCCTGAGTCATCAGCTCACTGCCATTTTCTGATTCCCTCTGAGAATTCTGTGCATCTCTAGTGTTGCTTCCATTAAGGAAGGTGATTTCAGACAGATGAACACATTTTAGTTCAAGGTGGCCAGAGCTCCTAAGGTAACAGAGTCTGTCACCAGTGTTCTTCAGTACCTCAGGCCCTGAGGACAGAACCAGTCTCTCTTGGGAGGCCACGGAGAAAGTTGTGGGGAGTGAGGTGTTCTGTGACATAGGATGGCTCCAGGGGATGCTTGGATCCACTTCACTCTCTTCTTCTCTAAGGATGCTGGAAGAGTCAGTGTCATCTTTGGGCAGAAGTGGCATAACACACCGTGCAGACCAAGGTGGCCTTTTCTGTTTAGGATGTCAAAAGAGGTTGAAATGGGGGTGTGCTTTGACTCTCTGCGATTCTTTTGCACATGGAGGGTCACACATCCATTAGTTTCATTGGAGTGGATTAATTGAGAGGTAAGATAGAAAGCCTAAGTCATTTGTGTTGATTGATATATGATTTAAGAACAGATGATTGATTCATATATAGAACATCAATTTCCATCTTGCACAGTCCAACAAATCACTTGGTATTTTGATAGAAACACACTGTGTAGGATTATTCCACAGTATCTATTTCTTGGTCTATGATTGCATTTTCTCTGAAGTACATCCCCAAACTTTTGATTCATTGTTTAAAAGGTCACAATTAGCTATACCACCATATGTGCAAACATGCCCCTCTCTTTTTTGGTTCATTTCATGAGAGTCTTTAATCATCTTCTCCCTAAGTAGAATACCATTGCTGATACCTACAAACCTTTATTAAGGAAGGCTTGCTGCATACCTGTAATTTGCCTGGTGCTATGGAAACAAAGAAATAAAAGGCAGCTTCTTGCTCTGCCAGAGGTACCCACTAGAAGGATGTCCAGAGGAGGCTAATGTCATTACTGGCTGACTAGCAGGGGGACTGGGTGTGGTTCAAGTGAGTCAAGAAACCATGAACGCCCACCCTTTTGCTCCCTGCTCAGTAATAGACAACAGATATGGTGGGCAGATTTCTATCACCTAGCAATAAAAAAAAAAAAGTACTTGGGCTATATGAGAATGACATTGTCCTTGGTGGAAGAAAACATGAGTGAATTCTTAACAATTGTATGCTCTAATAGCATCTGTCCACCAGAGAGACAAGATAAGCTAATTGGTCAAAGGTTTTCTTGTGCCACTGCCAACTATCTCTCTATAAAATGAACAAGTTTTTTAAAAACATTGAGAAGTTCTCAGTTTCATTTCCAACCCCCCTCTATATAATCTGACTCTGATTATATAATTCTGACTTTTAAATGCAGACCAAGGGAAAGGATACTGTTGCTAATGAGAAACCGGGCACAGATACAGGCCATTCAAATAAAGCCAAAGCAGTTTCAGGCCTGCAGGATTCCCTTTAATTTTATGTCTATATAATAGTTTGCCTTCTCTATTAGCCATTAATCTCACTGGGACTTCAAAATTCTAATTATGCAACTAAACATTAAGAAAATTTAATCACACAAGCATGCCATAATTTAAGCAACCCTATCAATCTGAAAAATCGCTACCTACCTCATATTTTAGCTTACGTTGTGTGGTGCCATTGTGAAGTTCCTCATTACTCTGAAAAGAAGAGAAAAGCCTTCTGTATTAAATTATAGCATGCTCATAGAGGGGAGAAAAAACTGAGTCTATTACAAGTGTTTATGAGAACAAAATTCTAAAGAAACATACCTGTCATTCAAATGACAACCTTTCCACAGGATTTACATTCCCAAAGTAAACAAGTCTCTTATTCATTTATTTGCAGGACAGAGATCTGAACCACTAACTTCTAATGTTAAGTTTAAACAGCAAAATTACAATCAAGATTTCCTTAGCCTACAAGTTATGGAATTCAGTAAAATGGTGTCTCAAAAACAGAAACAAAAACAAAAAAACTAACAAAACTGCACATACAGGTCCTATATGACTTAGGTATACTGCTTCTGAAAGTACATCCAAAGTACTCAGAGTCTTCATGGACCAGAGAAACCTACATGGCTATATTTATGCAGTACTATTTGTAATAGGCAAGTTAGGAAATGGGAGAGGTACCCATCAATGTGTGAATAGATAAAGAAAATGTGATATATGTGTGTGTGTGTGTGTGTGTGTGTTTATATATGTATGTATATGTGTGTATATATATACATATATGCATATGCACAATGGAGTTTCATTCAGCCATAAAGAAAAGCCAAACTGTGTCAATTACAGGCAAATGGTTGGGATGGACCGTCACATTATACAAAATAATCTAGATTCAAATAGAGGTATCAAGTCTTTATTCTCAAATGAGCAATTTAGAAAAAAAATCAAAACAAAACAAAGACTAAGCCCTATCAGGGCATAAAAACAGAAGAAATGCAAAATTAAAGATGTGGATAGAGATCAAGGGGTGGGGGATGCAAGAGAGTGATGGTGTAATATGTAAAATTATCTTGTATGTATGGACAAAAGTATCACAAAAAAAATTACTTTGTAAAATTTATATATGCTAATACAAAAGACATGAACTATCATTTGATAAAAATAAACTTACAAAAGTATACATCTCAAGTAGAAAAGTATATGTCTACTTGGAATAACTTACAAAGTAAATTATGTATTACAGAAATTTGTTTTATTTGGGAAGAAAACAAAATGTTACATGTAAAATTTTTAGGAATCAAAGCAAATAAAGAACATGAAGAACCTTAACATGTGTACCTAATCAATGTTTCCTTAGAATTACAAAACTGTAAAATAAGCTACTCTTCAATGAATTCTATCTGAAAACTACTCAGGTCCATCCATTGACAATAAGTGCTCTTTCTGAAACATTCCACATCTGAATTTTCATTAAGCAGCAGTAATGACTGTATAACCTGGCTCCTTTAGCTCACCTTCATCACATCAGCAGGTGCATGGCTGGCATCACCAACTGCCCTGTGCAAATCATGAAGGCGTCTTTGGACTTCTTCCTCAATGTAAGCACTGATCCTGAAAATGATAGAAATGTGACAGCTTTGAATACATCTAACTGCTACACATGGTCACTATGTATACCTTCAAGACACCCCATACAATAGGGGTCATTTCATTCTTAAGGCCATGTATGTACATATATGATGAAACTAGAGACCATCATATTAAGTCAAATAGTCCAGACTCTGAAAGAGAGGTATCATGTCTTTTATCTCATGTGTGCTATTTAGAAAAACAAAAACAAAAAGCAAAGCCTTATCAGGACTTGAAAATCCTGGTATTTGTTTTATTTATTCCATATAAATAAAAATTTGGGATTCCAAACTATTTTCTTCTTTCTAAGGAGTCTGGTACTATGCATTCACTCTCTGGTCTTTCCCCAAATGAGACAGGATTACATAAATAAATAAGAAGAAACTGCAATTGAATGGAGAGTAGGCTATTCCACTGCAACCCTCCCTGAATCTTATCATCAACAGCACACTGCAGGCTAAAGGCAAATCATAGCCATGGAAGCCAGAGGCCCTGTGCTCACAGATTCCACTGTATGACAGACCACTGGGTTTCCTCATTTGGAAAAAGAAGACATGAATGATAGTTATTTCTTATGCATAAGGCCATTTATGATGATTACTAAAAATTGAAAAGAAATGGAAGACATACTCTATGAATATTAACTGTTTATCTAGAACAGTGTCTTACATTCTCCCTGACTATCTTCTAACTCCAACTAGGTTATCTACATGTGGCCACTGAGACCACATCTGAAAGGTTTCTGCCATGTGGATTGCTTGTCACAGAGCCAAAACAGAAAGGAAGTCAGAAACTATTGACTTGTAAAGTAGGTGTCAAGTAAAATCTAGTGTCTCACAGGAAGTATCTGAATCTATATAAAATCTCATCACCAGCCTTGACCTTCAAAGTTGTGTTCAGTGAAGTCTCTGGTCGGCCAGAGTTATTCCAGCAGAGGAAACAGTCAAGAGGAATAATAGGATACAAGAGATTTGATAAGGAAAGTGGGAAAACAGGGCAGCTCTTCAGGCAAAGTGGAGGGAGGTAACTTCAGAAGATGGAGGGAGGGAGGTAACAATAACATTAAGGATGTCTGAAAAAGGTCTGCATAATCGTACTATTAACTATTTACCTAAAACAAGCCTATAATAAAAATTTAACTCTGTGTATAAGTACATAGATAATTTTAACCAGCATTGCAATATGTAAGGGTGCAGCAATAGCACACATACCTTGGAGGTAACCAACAGCTCTCGAATTAGACTTAAGGCTCATTCAAGAGGAGGGAAATCATGCCTGGTACTGGAAACTCAGCTAACTACCTAGTGATAGTGAAGTCATGATTACTGGAGGAAAATCTACAACCACTAATTTACTAAACTATCATAATCCCTAACTACATTCTAAATATTTGCCCTTATATCCACAAATAAGTGTAGTCTTCACCTCCTCAAGGAAATTTCTCTTTGCAACAGATGGAGACTGCTATAGGAAACTACAACCAATCAAAATTCAGAGTTGTGGAGCCCAGTCCCAATAGATACATCTACTAAACACTCCTGCAGCTAAGGCTCAGGGAATATGTTGGAAGAGGTGGGTACAAAGATTCTAAGAGCCAGGGGATCAGGGAGAGTGTGTCTTCTGGTAACATCAAAACCTACACCCATAAAATCTCACCAACATGAGCTGAACAAGAATGATGCCAATAGACATGCCAAAGTGGATGGGGAAAAGCCCATGAGGCTCCATCCCTACACAAAGAACTATCAGCAACTGAGGAAGGCTGAAAGAAGAGACAGTCTTCTCCAGAAAAGAGCACACCAATTTGTTGTCCAGTGCCAAATAGTCAGTCCTGAAAACATACATACACACAACATTATACAGACTGAACAGGTTATATTTAGGAATATATATGCATATACATGTATGCATACAATAACAATTAGTGAAAAAGAGGCTATGAATTTGAAGCAGAGCAGGGAGGTATATATGGGAGGGCTTGGAGGGAGGAAGTTAAGAGAGATATATTTTAATTGTAAAATAACTTCCAGTAGCTCCGACTGTCCAAAGCAATCATGATTTAAGTATAGGATTGTGTCCTCCAATTCCACAGATAGGGCCATCTGTCTTTCTTTCCTCTCTTTCTCCCTCCCTCCTTTCCATTCATTCATTCATTCATTCATTCATGTGTATATGTGTATTTGAGTGTCTATACATGTTCATGTATGGATGGATGCACATGTAGTTGAGGACAGGGGACAATCTTGGATGTTGCCATTTCTCAGGTGCCATTTATTCATACTTTTTTGAGAAAGGGTCATTTATTGGACTGGAACTTCACAAGTAGGCTAAGGTAGTTGGTCAGGGATCCACTCATGTCTGTCTCCTTGGTGTTGGGATTATAAATGTTTCATTATGCCTGGCTTTGTTTTTGGTTTTATTTTAGTTCCCAGGTATAGCTAGAGTTTTCCTGCTTGCCCACACTCAAGACAAATCTTTGTCACTCGGCAGTCCCACAGCCACTCAGACCCAACCAAGTAAACACAAAGACTTATTTTGCTTACAAACTGTATGGCCGTGGCAGGCTTCTTGCTAAGTGTTCTTATGGCTTAAATTAATCCATTTCTACAAATCTATACCTTCCCACGCGGCTTGTGGCTTACCGGTACTTTACATCTTCCTTGTCCTGGTGGCGGCTCCAGGCAGTGACTCCTGCCTTCCTGTTCTTTTATTTTTCTTCTCTGTTAGTCCCGCCTATACTTCCTGCCTAGCCACTGGCCAGTCAGTGTTTTATTTATTGACCAATCAGAGCAATTTGACATACAGACAATCCCACAGCACAGCCAAGTGCAGACCATCTCAGACACCTGCACTCAGGCCCGTGGTCCTAATCATCCTTTATGCAGACCTGCTGGGTAAAGCCACGAGGAAACCGAGAATGGCTCCCACAAGACATTCAGAACATTCCACAGCACCCAGGATCTTGGGTCTGCAGTCTAAAAGGCAATCATTTTATCAAGTCAGCTATCTTCCCAGCACTATATGGGTTATTTTAAATTAAATTATTTCCTTATTTATGCTTTCATACATTCAATAAATAAGTATTTGTAAATATTTGCAAGATCTTATCAGTGTTTGGTACTGCTGACCAACAGATGAGACACTTTTCTAAAATGCTGGGTATTGTACAGATGACTTCCTCAACCTTATGGACAATTTTAAACTGGTCCCATGGAAAACACAGACTTATACTAAGAGGGAAAGGAGGCTCATGCCACTCTGAACACATTTCAAACACTGAGCTCCTAAATTCAGACTGCAAGGCTGCCCAGTTAGATAATTCCCCCATGGAAAAATTCAATTAATTCTCCAAACTGGTTCTCCCAACCTGGCCTCTGCAGCACTTTGCTCTGGATGAGTTGGTTTCTCTGCATCTTTTCATTCTACCATCTCATACAAACTATTTGAAACCTGATTTCTTTGATTTGGCTGACCACTTCTTAGGTCCTTGATTCTCTTCACACTCACCCAGCCACAGGCCAAGACAGAGGACATCTCAAGCATAGTATTACTATTGCGTTTGATAAATCCCTCCAGCCCAGCCACAGGCCAAGACAGAGGACATCTCAAGCACAGTATTACTATTGCGTTTAATAAATCCCTTCAGAGGTAAACTAGCCAATAGGTCATTACATAGAATCAAAGCAAAGCATGGCATCAGGTGAATATTGAGTACCTGGCATCCATCAGTGGAGCCAGATGAGAGTTGTCAGCACTGGGTAGCAAGCTGGAAAGAGAAGTCTTTCCCTCTAAGGTCCCATGATGAGGTCTTTGAACACCATCCACCTCACAGATCTTCTGTTTCAGCTGGTGGATATCATGTTCTGACCTAAAAAGATGTGAACCATATAACTCCATTAATTAATAGTATTACATGAACACATTCTCTATAGGGAACTATTCTAAAAACCCCCGGGGGAGGCAGAAAGAACTCTAGGGCAAGATGTTTTCCCTTCTAGTAGAAAAGGTGTCACATACAGAAAAAGGAACAAGGTGAAAATGAGCCATGAGAAGAGACAAGAGTTTCAGGCATCCAAGGCTTGGACTACCCGGCCACTAAGGACAAAAGCACTTCTGCTGTGTTGTAAGCAAGTCCTTCTTTAGAGGCACTGGCCAGGATTTTGAATCCCTTAAACCTTGACTAAACAGGAGTTGGTTGTGGACTACATATCAAAATTCTGTTAAATACTTCCACTTGACAAGATCTATCCGAACATAGTTCTGGGCTGAGTCTTCAAAGGTCATTGGAATTGTGGTCATTTGGAGATAACAGTGGAAGATGCTCCAAGGACAGAAACCAATCACATCAAAGAAATTGTGCCACAGAATCCAGGAAGGCACTTTGGCCAAGGTAGAGACAATGGGGGGGGGGGGGGACCAAGGGAGAGAAATCTAAGAAATAAAAGTTGATTTAGATGAGAAATTAAAATGAGCCACAAATTGTGAAACCAAAAACCATTATTGCTGATGACAACTGGTACATTTTATAAACTCTGAACTGTATGAAAAGCTTAGCCAGGTGAATCTGAATCCTAAACAGTGAGGCTGAAGGGTCAGGCTTGCGGGCAGATTTAGCCTCAGGAACATAGGACTCAGCAGCTGAAGACCACAGCCCACTCAGTGTGTGAAAACAGACAGGTACTGGATCTGGATTTCTACTTATCTAGGGATCAAATGAGCTCAACTAATCTCTTTCATTTTTTTAGTCTCCCAAATTCAGAGATCTTAGTGTCAAATGCTGACACATCTTGATGCTGCCAACCCCCTGGTGCTACCATCAGTAACTTGCCTTTTTTTTTTTTTTAATCTTGAACATGAAGGCCATGCTCTTAATTCTCAGAGATGTGATTCTGTGATCAGTAGGGGAAGCACTCATGACTTCCACAGGAGGAAGCTTTCAGTTCAACTCAGGTCTTATTTATCTAATGACGAGGAAAAGTTTCCTGAGCATCCATTTGCAGAGCATCCAGTATTTTCAGAAGAGGAGTGGGAATATAAGGATCTGGGCATGATGGCCCACATCTGTAAATCTGGGAGGTGGAAGTAGATGGGGGTTCATGGTCATCCTCTGCTGTGTAGTTTGAGGACAGTAAAGGTCACATGAGACCCTATCTCAAAAACACTACGACTACCAACAAATAAGAAGGGTGTGAGGGACCACATGGATGGCAAAGAATCAAGGCCTGCTTTCAACAGGGTCTCAGCAATGGCAAACAGGATGCAAGCAGAAGACAGCATGATCTCCTGATGCCTCTTGGGTTTTCTCACAGGTGTTCTTTCAGGCTAAGACATTAGAAAATCTGGACAGAGGTGACTTAGCATGAAGGTTTGATTGGGGCCCTAAAGACCCAGTGAGATTTATATAGATAGCAAGAGTCAAACAGGATAGTACATGAAAAACATGCTATGTGAAGTACTGGCTTATCTATATTTCAGCTACCATACCAGCCCACTAACAGCTGGGCAAGAAATGAACCTAAATGAAGCCCCTAATCTGCTACTTTCTGTGTGTCACTAGTCCCCACTAGTAATATAACAACTACAGGTTAAAATAGCCTATCTTCTGCCTGGGGGTGGTGTCCCTTCTTCATAGGAAGACTCAGGGACAGGATACATGCCATTTTAAACACAATTGAGCTACACGGGATTGTTCCTCATTGGGGGGCAGCAGCATCATTTTTGAGGACTCTGATAATAGAACTGGTCAAACATTGAGTATTAGCAGTTTTCATCTTCTCTCTCCTATGGTGACATGAGGGCTTTCTAGTGGTGCTGCCTGACGCATGCCACTGGGCCAGCTGGAATGAACAGCAATGGAAAGGAAGGCAGTGGCATGACTTCACCAGTTCCTAAGTCACCAGGGAACGAATGAGAAACCCTATCCAGTGCAGTGCTGCCCCATCTGGTGCCATGTGGCTTCAATATTTCAGTTGGTCAATTTCACAAGGGGCCAAGTCAGGCTGCACAGGCAGTCCTGCAAGAAAAGAGCAGCAGGAATGTCCGTAGAAAGCTGCTGAAGCATTGCAGGCAAAGCAAAGTGCCCAGAATTCATCGGCCTGAATTAGATAGTAGAGAAGTCTATTTCATCGGCACTCGGGAGGCTAAGTGCCTTCTTGTGAGCTTTCTGGAGGATTGCTGACACCAAGGAATCACTTCCACAGAAATTTCAAAACCATGTCTGCTATTACAGAGTATTAATACTGAATGACTGGTTGACAAAAGTCAGGGACATCAAGCTAAAAGCTCAGGCTGCCTCTTACTGCACACTGCAGGATACAAATTGAGAGCATGCCCTCCACTACTTTAAAATTCCTGGGGCTAGAGCTTTGTCCAGCAATTTCATTTACATAACATACCTGCAATCATTTTCTTAAACCTCCGACCTACTTCTCTGAAATAATAACATTATGGTTTTGGTTGTTATTTTGTTTCTGTTTTGCCTGAAGGAATTACCAGAGAGTGACGGTAAATGGAATCCATAGGATAAGCAGATCACTTAAAAGGAAGCCGTCTTGACCTTCTCAGGAAAATGATGGGTAAGAGACACATTTAACACTTCTGAGAAGGTCTTGCCGTGTCTCAACCACTGTACCCATGCCTCTGCCAAATGCTAAGTTGGGGTCTTAAGGCTAATAGACAGAGTACTGCTGATTATGGGTTCGATAAGACCGAGTTCCAGGTCCTCCCAAACAGGCTTCAGTTAAGAACTCTGAACAGAGGCAGGGCATGGTGGTACATGCCTTTAATCCCAGCACTCCAGAGTCAGAGGCAGGCGGATCTTCATGAGTTGGAGGGCATGAGTAGCACAATTCAGCCAGACAGTGAGAGACAGTCTTTAAAAAACAAACAAACAAACAACAACAACCTATAAACAGGAGTTCCCTGAAAAAGCCACACCTATGTTAAAGATTCTGCAGACTGATTGAATAAATACAGTAATTAGCAATTAGTGATATGAACAGTTGGAATTTTACAGATAGAGAGCTAAACTTACTTTGGGCAATCTTTATTTCTGTTAATAGTCACTTAGCAGTTATGTGTATATCTGACCCAACAACCGTTTGATTCTCTAGATAAATCCCTTGGAATGTGTCCCTAAACTTGACATGCCTAAGCTCCACCAATCTTATAGCTAACAATGTCATCAGATAGCATCTAAAACCTATAGTTGAGATTTTTTTTTCCCAGTCTATAGAATCCACTGATGTCACCAATGCATTTGGTAAATGCATGATTTAGGATTTTGATTTGTTCTGGAAAACTCTATGTGACCACTTCCATAGTAGACCATGTCCCTCAGGACAAGTAAAATCTGTGTTCCCTGAGTAGCCACTCAGCATTGGCTCAGTGTAAATTATCTCTTGATCCCTGTGGAGCAAGAGCTTTGTTTTTTGTAGATAACTGACCTGAGTATGGAGCTAAAAGAAATGAGACCTAAGTGGTCAAGGCCATCCACGAAGTAAGAGACAAATCACATAAGTGGCCTCTAACCTCTCTAGGACTCTTAGCATGACTGCAGAATACCAGAAAAGGCACTCCTAGGTTTCAATATTTACATGTTTCAGAGTCTACTCCTGGTATTCATGGCAACAGAATAGAAAGATAAATATTCTTTCTTTACCATGTCAGGAGTGCTCATTTCCCAGTTTTCTTTCTAAAATGCTGACTTTAAGGGTGGGACATCTACCTGATTTTAGTTCTCTTCAATTTGTAGGAACCAGTTCGGGATTCACAATGCATGAACTCTGGCG